GCGGATGCGAGGAGTGATGGTATCAAGAATATATTTTCAGGGATCTTCCTCAGACAAACATGTGTCATAAAGATATTATAAAAATGTCATAAAGTCTTATAAAGATATCCTGCATCTTGGTACCAATAGTAATCTGAACATAAAGTTCAAAAGTCACCTGATGAGCTTATTATACTAGTACAGTAACAACTTGTTTTCCACCATGACTCTTTAATAAATTGTTTTGTCATTCTGAGATTTAATGTTTTAATAGATACTTGTAAAAAATTAATAAGATTATGCTCTTATTGATATGTCAAGAAATACGTTTATGAGCTTTAGGTCAGAAACCTTAAGCTCATAAACCTACATTGAGTTGATTTAGATTAATTAATTTAATAAGCATTCCAAGATTATGGTTATTCTCCTTGACATTACATGCCAAAGCCAGAAATATAACCTTGTTTACTCCTGAGTCTTTTTTATTTCTACTTTGCTCTTCTGACTTTGTTTCATTAAAAATATTCATTATTACCAGAAAATTAATTACAATTGAGTAATAATTCTAAGTTTATTTCTTTTATTTGCATAATATAAAGTAGGTTAAGTTACTAAACCTTCAGTGAACCTTGTCCCTCCATCAATTCCAGCTTTTTTTTTTTTTTTTTTTTTTCTAGAGCATGAGAATGCTTTATAACTGCAACAATTGAATTCTTTTCAACACCTAATTGTAAATTCCTATATTGTAAACAATGTGAGATATATTAACTATTATAAAAGAAAATAAATAAACTAATATACTATTGTTTAAATTATATTATAAAATATTGAAACACCTAGATGACCATGATCTTTTCGTAAACCTCTAATAATATCATGAACAACATTTTCAAGCAGATCATGATATTTCTTGATATCAAGTATTGCATCAGTAGAGACTACTTTATTTATTTGAAGCTTGGGTTTTAGTACTGCAGGTAGCAGTGATCCTCCTAAAATTAAAATAGATCATTGCATTAAGTCATTCTAAACCAATAAATGAAAATCTACCAGCGGATAATTGTAACAAATTTTCAGCCTTTACTAAAAACTTTAAAACGCTTGAGGTTATTTGCTCTGGCATCTTTTTATCTTTGGAAAGAATAAGATTCTTAGTATTTTGAACAGCAAATGTTCTGGTACATGAATGCCTAATGCCCTTTTTAAATAGTTGAAAACAATGTGTGCAGAATAAGTTTAACTTTTCAATGCAAAAAATTTTCATTTGAACCAATGATATAATCTCTTAAATTAAAAACCTTGTGGCTGCGCTTGTCTGATACCAGACAACAAGTTGGACATAAGTATTGATTGTCAGTTGTTACAAAACTCAAGTTATTTGAAAATCAAAAAAGATGTTATTTTTGAGTGCATACTTTGAGCAAATATTACAGAGACAATGAATGAATCTAATTTTTTCAGTAGAGCTAAGATAAAGTAATGAAATACAATGAATATATTTGCTAGCAATTTTCGGTGACAGCCTTCATTTTTTCCTCCAAAAATCAATAATTTACAAGTCAATGATTTTGAACAAAACTGGATAAATAATGCATTTCTTGAGACTATTAAGTTCTATTAGTAGGATTTTTTAATCTTTTACAAATAGAATAATTAAGTATAATAAACAAGCCTATCAACCTTTTGTTCATTTATATGTACTTTTACTGGTCTAATTGTTTATATGTACATTTAATGTTCCCAGTAAGCATCTAATTTTTTTTTGAATGCTGTGACAGATGTGACAGATGACATAATATTTCAGATGGTAGATTATTCCACAAATTTGTAACTCTTATACTAATAAAATGTTTTCTGGCTTACAAAAAATCTTTTTTATAAGCGTGACCACGGTTGTTGATAAAACAGTACAAAATGGTGTTTAATGAACTTATAAATATTAAAATACTCAATTGTATCAATTTTTTCATGTATTGTAACTACTAACTTATAAAGATTGTGAGTCGATTTGTAAGTTTCTACCATGTCATAGGTAAGAAATGATAGCTTATGCTAGTTAAATTTAGTCATCTCATTTTATTATTTTTTCAAATATTTTGACATTATAACAGAATTTTCAACAGAATCAAAATAATTTAAGAAAATTTCTAAGCACAAAAAAATATATATATTTGTTTTCATATTCGATGTAGCAAAACTTTCTTGCTACCACCAGAGAGTACTACTACATCAACTGAGGGGGCAGTAATCTTAAAAAATCTCCATTGATGAGAGCGCAATAAGCAAGAAATATTTAATCATTTTAGACCACTTAACTGTAGGATTACCATGACATTGGTATGTACCTATAACAAATTATAATAGCAATTTTTTTTTTTTTTTTTTTTTTTTTGATATTGAAGATAAATGTCTTCTAATTTGAAATGCTTTTTCACAGCTACATAAAGATTGTGAGTCGATTTGTAAGTTTCTACCATGTCATAGGTAAGAAATGATAGCCTATGCTAGTTATATTTAGTCATCTCACTTTATAAGTGAGCTAGTCAGGCAAAAAAACAGTTTTACGAGACTTGCATAAACGCTTTTAATTAACCGTTAATCTTTTTTAAGCCTAGGATATTAGACAGAGCTGTGATAGTCAAGGTGAGGACAGGGTTGAGGGTGTTACATTTTAAAAATACTTAAGTAAAAAGTAAAAGTACTGGCTGTAAAAGCAGATTTAAGTTTTTTTTTACAAAATATTTAAGTAAAAGTACAGTATAAGAAGTACTTTTTAGTTACAAAGTAAAGCGCATTGCAAAATTGAATATCTCAAATATTAACATATATGAAATCGGTTTTTAAATCATGTAGGAAAAAACTTAATATATATTTAAACAACCCTCGGAATTAGGGTCGGCATTTGGCAATGCTGACCTAACTGCCGACCTGAAAGTGTTTGTTGTCGGCATAAATTGCCGACCTTGTCTCTATGTTTTATGGTCAGACCTTTGTATCAAACAATTTTTGCAGACTTCTATCTTTTTGAGGTCGGCAAATAATTGCCAACATCATTTTTCCTAATTCCAAGACTTGTTTAAACCATCTCTCTACATGTGTTAATTACAACAGACTGGCAGATTTACAACAGTTTTTCATTGATACACAATAGCAGCTGCTGTTCAAAATATGCATCTGTTATTATAGTGCAATTTAGCATGAACACCTGCATTAAATAAAGAATAGCAGGTTGCACTAGCTGGCAAAGCAATATTCAATTTAGAAAATTAAAATTCTACAGTGGAAAACCTTAATGACCATTAAATGATTAATTAGTTCTACTAATGTATATTTAAAAAAATGTTATGATAATAATAATTGTGGCTGCTTTATCTGCTGATGAAGCAGATTTGCACTTTGCTGCACTGTTTTTAGCTAGCTGCAGCTGTTTAGTAAGTTCAAACCAATTCCTTTTTATTTTTTCTATTTGGTTGCTTATTACGTTGTGTGTTTATTTTGCATGTTGTCCTATTCACAGCCTTGCATTATGATGCATGGCTAGAATCCAACGTCAAATGGTACCAGGGACAGTTTTACAAAATTGTGTGTATTATAAGATTCATTCGAACCAATGAGATTTAAGTACTTTTGTATTTTTTTTCTGAAAATAGTTTGTTACAAAGTAAAAAAGTTAGCCTGAAAAGTCTTACATAATTACATTCCAAACCTTGGTGAGAACAAACAAGGAAAAAAAAAGAGTAAAAAATAACAAGATATTGAGATTTACAAATGATCTTTTGATCATTCTAACAATTTTATTAACAGTGTTATTCTTTGTAATTATATGAGTAGGAAAAAGCAAATTACATTTAACACAGACGCCAAGGTTTTTTTTGACAAGAAAGTTTTCTAAATTAATTGAAATATTAAGAGTTGTATCAACAAGTTTATAAAAGAAATTTTGCAATTGTAGGTTCAAAATGCATAACTTTATATTTTTGACATTAAAACTTAGTTTCCATAATTTTGCCATAAGGTTAAAAAAATTGTATAACTTAGTAACATCTGCAAATAGATATAACAACCGAAACAAATTTGGGCCACGAACTGAATCCCATGAGACTCCACTAGTCCCACATTATCCATTATTGATACTTTGCCTCTAATTTCTTAAGTAACACTTTGATGTGCAGAATTTTGTCTATAGTATTTGATATAACAAGGTATACATTGATGGCATTATGAAAATAAGTGTTAAGTACAACATTTAGTCAAATTGAGCTAAGTACACAAAAAATGTCATATTTTTCAAACATTATTGTACCTGAATATGGTAAGTGTACAATAAATTGATACAAGTCTACTAATCGTTTAAGATGTTTTGAGTCTAATAAATTGTTACTAGTCTACTACTTTCAAAATGCTCCCCTATAAAATCACATCTGTGGCACTTAACACTTCTGTGCATAATACCATCAACACTATCTATGTTATTTTAATTTTCCAAGGCCAAAGTCTAAATCATCAATAACAGATATAAAGTTAGGCTCATATGACCTTTAAATAATAATAAACATGGAGAATTACGAAACAAGGAATGATTGTTAAAATGTGAAACCTATATAAAATTTTATTATTTTTTCAAATATTTTGACATATACTTTTCAACAGAATCAAAATAATTTAAGAAAATTTCTAAGCACAAAAAAAAAAAAATATTTGTTTTCGTATTCGATGTTGCAAAACTTTCTTGCTACCACCAGAGAGTACTACTACATCAACTGAGGTGGCAGCAATCTTAAAAAATCTCCATTGATGAGAGCGCAATAAGCAAGAAATATTTAATCATTTTAGACCACTTAACTGTAGGATTACCATGACTATTGGTATGTACCTATAACAAATTATAATAGCAATTTTTTTTTTTTTAATTTTGATATTGAAGATAAATGTCTTCTAATACGAAATGCTTTTTCACAGCTACATTGTGGATATATAAACTGCTATAGTTTTTTTATAAAATTAATAAAATTTAGACTTACATCTTTTGGAAAAGATGAATCTTGAAGTTCATTAGACCCTGACTCGCCATGGCTTATTTGAACAACCATGGTAAAATAAATCTCTGTTTATTAACTTAATTATTAGCTGTGCTGTGCTTTCTATAAAATAAGTAATTTCTATGTATAAATTAATATAATAATATGAAATTATCTTGTAAATTTTTATTTTATTATTGAAAAAATTAGCATCAATTATTTCTATAATCATATTTTTATAATCATAAAAAAAGATTATTAGACTAATATTATTAGTTTAATTAGATATGATTTTTTTTTAAAAAAATATTTGAAACATTAATTATTTGTAAATAATAAAAAACTATTATTACAAATAAATATTTTTAACAGTATCAATAACTGATACTGTTATTGAACAATAGAAATAGTTATTGTTTACTAATAAATTATCAAACAAAAACTATTATTATTTATTGTTATTGTTGTTGTCTTGGTTATTGTTAATGAATAAATCAATAGTAAACAATAAGAATAGTTAATGTTTGCTAATAAATTATTAGTAAACAATAACTTTTCCTATGATTCTATTGCAATAACAATTAATATAAGTAAAAGTTATTATTATCAATAATTGAATAATAAATTATTATTAAACAACAACGTTTCCTGCTATTCAATTACAATAACACTTATTACTAGTAACCGTTGTTATTATCAATTATTGAATAATTAATAACACAAACGTTAAAAAAAAGTCCGTAAAACGTGAAAAAAAATGTAAACATTTTAGTTCTAAATTTGACCTAGATAACATTCAAACATCTTGCTATATATTTCGAAAAGGTCATATAAAATTATTAAACTACAAAAACTTTGTAATAATAGACACGCCCATTGTAAGTAAATACTAAATTGAATATTTAACTACTCAGTGTAGTCAGTGACGGTTTAACCACTGGAGGCCACGGAGTTGAAGGGGCCGGAGCATTTAAGTGAATATTTGGGAGAGAGAATTTGACAGAAAAATTATTATCGGCCTTTATCCTTGACTTCCTCTCATGTTCCAAAGGTTTTTCACCTTTGCATAACCGCGCATAGGATGTATTGCAAACTCGACGTTTTATTTTTTAAATGACTGGAAACTTTTGAGTTCGAACATAATGGTGAAAAAATAAGTTTAAAATAATTGGATACTTTATTCGATGCTCATTCTCATAGGATTATTATTGCGCGGATCAGACAAAAACTAGAATCGATACGCAACGGAAACTTTATTGGATGTATTAAGCTATTAGTAAAATTTGATCTTTTCCTCGCCCAACATTTGATAACTCATGGAAACAAAGGAGAAGATTGTATCTCATACTTATCTAAAAAGGTTTGCAAAGAACTCATTCACTTCAGAGCCACCGAGGCTATGGAATTTTTAGGTAATATGATCATCCTTAAGTAACGCTCATCGTTGATTCTACTCCCAATGTACAAAACGGAAAACCAGTTGAGCGGCTCTTAGGATTTATTCCCATGCATAATCATTTTGCAACTTTCAAAACGTACACGATCAACATTCAAAATGGCTGTGGCCAATCATACGACAATGCCAGTAATATATCTCATATCTAATTTGGTTTACAAGCAATAATTAAAGAGATCAACGTTCTTGTCGAATAGATTCCGTGTGCTACTCACTATTTGAACCTTGTAGGAGTGAGTTCCGCGGAATCCAACGGAGCTGCTGTTAATTTCTTTAGCTTTCTTTAAAAAATTTATAACTTTATTTCTGCATAAACGCATCGAATTTTTAAAGTTAAAGTTCTTTGCTTTAACGCATCAGCGCATCCTTATGTTAAATTTACTTGCTGGAAAACATGTTAAAGTTCCCTAGACTCACAAACTTGTTGGTTAGATCAAGCTAATGCTTATTTACAGGGTGATTACGAGTTATTTAGAAAATTGAATAAAAACATCTAATTTGTAGTTGTGCACACTTATTAACAAATATTTTCTATATAGGCGGCTCTAATTGACATTAATGACAATCAAAAATCAAGAGCAAAGGCCTTTGGACTTGAAATAGAACAACTAGAGACAGCTATTTTAGTAATTATTTGGAACAGAATCATGGAATGGTTCACAAAGTTTACTAAAAACTGTAATTTGTAAAGCTTGATTTAAGTATAGTTGAAGAACTTTACAATTCCTCGGAGCATTACGTGCAGCAAATTCGCTTTAATTTTGAGCAATTAAAAAAGCTAGCCGTATCTTTGATCAACACGGATGATTAGGTCTAGGTTCATAGGCTCCAAAGAGTACATAAGAGGCATTACGATGATGAAATTAACAGTCTGGAAACTAAATTGTTTTGTGGGTGATTTTAAATGATTACAGACGTTAATGAGATTTCGGACAAACTAATGAGTGATATAGATGAAAAAAAGAAAATCTATTCTGAATTGAACTCTCTGTTTGATTTTCTTGTGAATCTCCGCAGCATGGATATCTTGGGGATTACATGCAGTGCACAACAACTTGTTAACCGATATCCTACTGATCTTAACATTCACTTATTGAACGAATGTCTTCTTTTTGAAGTTTTTTTCAGTCTTTTAGATTTTTCTTTTGTTAAATTAGAAAACCGGGTATTGGATTCCATTGACCTAAAATCAGCATTTGCAAGCATAAAATGCATACGAAATGTATTTTAAAATCTATACTAATCGCAATGTGTTTTTAATAATATCTAATGTGAGAAGCTCGTTTAAATACAAAAGAAAATATATTATAAAGCCATAGCGCAACAATTACAAAGATTTTTTTATTTTAAACGGCTGTTAAATTTGAATGCTAGGAGGCCAACATGGGCCAGAAAGCCGAAAGTGCCGGGAGGCCACAAAGTACTTAACCTGGCCCTGGGTGAAGGCAATTTAAAAATATTATAGCGTCTGCATGATATTTTGTTGACTACGACATATTTTCATTAAATGAAAAGACGAAAAAAATTAAAATTATAAATTTTGTGGTATCTTAAAATGTAAATGTTTATAGCGAAAATATCCAGACCAAAGTATTTTTTTTTTTTTTTAAATCCTAAAATCACAATCACTTGCCCAAATTTGGATAAGATTTTAAATAAATACATTGTTTAGGTAAAATGAACATCATATTTTAATAATAATATTGCCTAGAGCTTTCATGGCACAGGGGTATAGCAGCAATTAGGCGCTCTTATAAACTTGCATATTCTTAATTAAAAGCAAGTACAACTATACAAGTTAATGACTCGTCTTTATTTTTAATACCGTTACTTTACATTCATATTTTTATGAACCGCATTTGGATTAAAAAACACTTATGCAATACTGATTATGAATTACATTCAGATTCTTTGATATAATACTGATTATGCAATACTTTGATGCAATACTGATTATGCAATACATTTTTATGCAATACTGATTATGAATTACATTCAGATTCTTTGAAATTAACTTTGAAAAAAACACTCTTTCCTTGCCTTTTTACTAGCACTATTATTATTATGTTATCTTACTATACAGTTTTATCCAATTCATTTTCAACGTATATGTCCAGTACAAGCTCATATTTTATGGTGGCCTAAAATTAGCATACAAAAAAATTAAGATTAGTGAGCATTAGCGTGGCAATGTATGTATTGGAAAATATGCTATGGACTTTTTGGGTATATTTGATTGATAAAGCCTGAAGTATTTTTAGAACCTGCAGAATACAAAACTCAACTTATAGGCTGAATTTTATATTCTACAGCTACATCCCTTCTATCAAACTCAGCATATAATTAAATAAAAAGACTTGTTTAAAACCCCAACTAATCAAAGGTTATCCAGAACATTAGCACTTTTATACAATTCGTGTTGCAATCCGTTAGAACTAATTAGCGAATGATGTAGTTAATGCACCTACAGCAAACTCTTTTAAAAGGTTTATGATGCTACTTCGGCTGTAATAATGTCAATTATCAGCATATGAAAACCTATTGTTGCTTTCTTTCTTCAATACTAAACTTTTTATGAAAAAGTCTTATTGTTTATTGTAATAAATAAAAAATTTTGTTTTCAGTTGTAGATAAAAGATAGTGCTTTACAAACTTTCGGACACCTCGATGAACACAATTACCCGACCACTAGAAGAAGGAAATTACCTCATACTGCATACTCATAACTCATACATACAGAAACACTGTAGTTATATTTATTTCTAATATTGTTAGTGTTTGATTGTATCTAAAATGTTTAATTAACGATATTGCGCGTTGTTGGCCACGTTTGATGAAAATTTTTTTAGAGAGATTGACCAGGCTTTAAAAAAGTATTTTTTTTTTAAAGAAAAGTCTGGATATAGAGGACTTTTTCACAAATTTATGGTTGTGCCCCTCCCCCTCTACTTCAAAACCCGTGTCGTCGGCCCTGTTGTAAGCTTTTTTTGGGTCGGAATTCTTGTATTTTTGTAAAAACTGATAGAAATTTTGTATTATGACAAGTATTTATAGTTAATTACGTCAGAACCGCTTAGAACTAAGACACTTTTTCAAAATATTATATCTAAACTCGTGTTAACGCTGATGAGCAAAAGTGATCTAAAGACTCTGAAATGATGTTCTTTAGATTCACTGTTAGGGGTAGTAAAAAGGTTTTGAAAAATATACATATAAAAAAAAGAAAAGTTTCTTTAAATATTAAAAAAACTTGAAGCAAAAAAAATATACCATTCTAAGCTCATGTTTGGATATAATACGCTTATAAAACCATGCTAATAAATAAAAGAATTCGAATAATTTGTAAATTACCTTAACTACACCAAGAATGAAATTATTTTTATAAAATAATTTAATATTGATTTGTCTCCGCTAAGTTTTTTGCGCCCGACGCATTTTTCGTTCATCAATACAAGTTAAACCATCCAAACTTGGCATCAATATTACCATTATATTACTATTTTACCAAAATTACCAGGTATTCTACTTATTTAGATCTGCATGCCGTTAGTCAGCTTAATGTAAGTGTTTATTAATCGTACTAGCACATTAAAAAACGAGCTGTTGGCACACAGTTCGTTTACAATAAATAGTACAAACCCATTTTCAGAACAAACTTTACTAATCTTTGCACATATATTC